AACTTCCCAACCTATACTAGCTCCTTCCATAGTTGGAGAACCAACTTTTCAACTGAACTAACTTCCTAACTTATACTAGCTCCCTCCATAGTTGAAAAACTAACTTTCCAACTGCACTAACTTCCTAACTTATACTAACTCCCTCGATAGTTGGAGAACCAACTTTCCAACTTAACTAACTTTCCAACTTATACAATCCTCCTCCATAGTTGGAGAACCAACTTTCCAACTTAACTAATTTCCAAATTATCCAAGGCCACTCTTTAGTTGGAGAACCAACTTTCCAACTTAACTAATTTCCAAATTATCCAAGACCACTCTATAGTTGGAGAACCAAGTTGAGAATAGTTATGTTGAAAAGTTGGCTTGCCAACTACAGCGGGCCTATAGAGTGCCAATGAAACTAACTTCTCAACTTATATGCTCAAATATTGGTTATACAGACAGTACTGGCAGCCATTTGCTCAGTTTTTGTATATGTTTGTCATTGGTCACTGTTAGGAAAGGCATGTTACATCTCAAAGTAATGTATGGTAACGCAAAGTGGAAAATTAATGTCGACACTGTTTTGTTGTCTCTATTATTTTTAAAATCTATTTCTACAATTATGCTTAAAAAATAATTGTATACAATGCTTTATCATTGCACCATATCTGAACTGGGTTACAGTGAATTTCATAAAGGTATAAGTGTATTTTTTTGTATAAAATATGTATAAATGTGTTATATTCACAGCATATTAACATATGCATATTCAGTAAATCGGCGAATGATTGAAGATAATCGGGAAAGACTCATGGGTAATAAGCTGATGATAATACTTAATAATAAGTATACCAATATAAGCATTACCACATTGCGAAAGATAGCGTATTTGAATTCGTGTAAGGGTTTTCATGGTAAATGTTTTATAAATGTCCATTGCAAAACATTTATGCATTCATGTTAACTGTACAATACATGGAACTAAAACACATGAATACATTAACTTGGAACATTCGATTTCATACAAATGAAAATGGTCCATTGTCGATAGTGTTAGATTTGGGTTAGCTAATCAGGTAAAGTCTTGACTCAAGATCTGCTATCCTCGGGGGCGGAGCTACGTCACGGACGTTCTACGTTGCTAAGACGCGCACCACTGTACCACGTATTTCTATGGGCTTTGTGCGCGCTGCTGTGGAACGCCGGTGAAAACTCGAGAAAACAACACAAACTCAACTTTGAAGTAATCCTGAACAACCAAATTCATATATGTTACACACGTAGGGCTAATCTTGTTACACTGTTCAGGGGACTCTCAACAACCATTGCAAAGTACCGTTTTCTGCGAGTTTTTGGTCTTTGTTTTCACCGCGAGGTTTGCCAGGCGGTAGAAAATGCCCGGATGTCCGCCCCGAGGATATTCTAAATGACGAACGTTTTACACAAGCAAGCATGGGAACGACATTATTGTCATCAAACCAAAAGCACGTCATTTTTACACATCAAAAGTTTTTGTCGCTAGAGGGCGCGATTTATTAGTCAGGTCTTCTGATTGTTTATTCACAATATCTAAAGAAACATCACAGGGCCAATTAGTATTAAGTCAAATCACTGCATAACTGTTGATATATCACTAATTGTATGACCCAAAATTCAACAATGTGAATCCACCAACATATTGAAGCTACCGGTATAATCTAAGATATTCGTTGACTATTTGAAATGCCGACGTTTCAATGTGCAGTAATAGCGATGAAAAGGCTTTTTAAGACTATATAAGTTTGAACGAAATCCATCCAGAAATGCCAGAAATGCTTGATGTTTGATGATTTTTTTAGCACAAAAATGGCCACCATTCGGCCATTTTGAATATGATCGTCAAACCAATATATCTGTATATCTATGACATGATGTATAATGAATATTAAAAATTTGAATATAATCAGTCAAATAAAGTCAGAGATACGGCTCTAGAAGCCCACCCATTAAAACAAAACTGCGATTAAAACAAAACTGCGTCCGAACGGGGACTAAAAAAAGAACGATTAAAAAGGGAAGAAAATAAATACAGATTTGAACCGGTATAGCATGTAATTAAATTTGTCCAATATCTAACCAGTTATCTGATGGTTCCCATTTCTGGTAATGGGTGAGCTCTTTGTTTTTGTTTATTGCTATTTCTAGTATAATATTTCTGTTTTTCCTGACCAAGTTTTTGTAAGCATATTCTACAGTGATCCCCCTGAACTCTGCATATTTTTTAATACTAAAATAAAATGATTCAGTAATATATTTTCTGGTTCATATAGACCTATAATAATTTGTTTGTTATTACAAACAATATTACAATTAACAAATAAGTATTCTGAGGTTTCTTATTCTTTTTCACCGTTTTCTCAGAATCATTATAGAGAATTGATCTTTTTCCATTTGTACAGTTTTATATAAATGTTCTTTCTTCTTTCAAATTGGTCTATGGCAATATCCCAACAGAAGTGTCTCAGTTTTGTTCTGATTTAGTTTTAGATGTGGATATTTATCAAAGCTAATACCAGTAACTGTATTCAAAGGAGGTGTCATTTAGGTGGGCTTAATGTATAAGTTATATTGACTACTGTTTTATCGGGTGTTCGTGATCGACTGAATCAAATGTTTTTGTGGGGTTTTTTTGCAGTCCAGTGGTAATATCACGCCGTGTGAGTTTTGGTATCTAGTTAGCCGCATTAAATCAAAAACTGTGCGAATTGCATCACCTATATATCTTTCCTTCACTAACGCACATTGAGTTGGGTGTTGGCAGGATAAAATAGAGGCCCTTTAGAAGTTATTTTAACATCAGTGTTCATGAGAGAAATTGTCTGTAGTTTTCAACTTTGCCATTTTTGGCAATCAAGATTATGACGTATGGCTTTTGTGACTCTGTTAATTATCCCTGTTTTGGTGTAAAGCGTAGTATGCTATTCAGTTCCCCAGTACTTCGTACAAGGCACAGTCATGCAGCTGGCGCACACGGGATAATAACAT